TTTTATATATTTACCTAGTGATAAACATTCCTCTGAATGTTCTTTCACTAGGACAACATGGGGGCTCCACCTTTCTCTGTACAGCCTCTGGCTCTGTGAACCCATTTTAACCCAATTTGAAAAAACAACAATCACAAATAGCCAGGCCTCACTCAATTTGATAGCTCACTTTTATGACCTAAATTCTGCCTAACTGAGATGAGCTAATCTCTTTCTCCTAGTTATATTCTAAAGATGGTAGTACACACAAAACATGATAGATATTCCCAGTCTTAACCCATCAATAATTGTTTGTATCATTCTAATTCCTCCTAACTAATCCATTAAACCACTCAAAATTCCTCGAGTATACTATGATTATTTAATTGATTACCCTAACTTTGCTACATGTGATCTCACCTCAAATGATCCATTTATCAATTATTTATTCAACCCCCTAGGAAAACCTGTCTTCCCTTCTATTGTTCCTGTCCTCCCTGTAAATGTCATTTTTGAGTTTTTATCCAATACAATCACGGTTACATCAAATGTTCTCTCATTTAATGGTATTTTCTTCCTAATATAACTTCCCTAAATGAGATTAAATCCCCTGCCTTCCTCTACTATCCTTATATCATTACTGGATCAATGATAATAACCGTAACAACTATCAACAACAATTGTAATAACTATTTCACACTAAATTGTGTCTTTTTTCTGATTATGCTACAATTGTAGCCTATTTTATCACCCCAGTCCAAAATATAAGTTTATGTAACAAATCCATAACCCACTACAGGCTGGCGCCATTCCCCAGCACAACAGCCAATGCATACTTTCATCCTAACCAAAATAAATTATCGTTTTATAATCGTCCAATTATTTTGTATTTTTCCCGCTAACCCATTTCAGTTCGCTATTCAATTTATTTAACTGTTCTCTCTGATTATGCCCTAATTAATAAAACAAATACTTGCTATCGTTGGTCAGCATACGCTTAATGACATTCTTATCATCTGAACTATACTGTCTCTCACCCTCCCCTTGCTCCTTCGGGGAGAGCGCATGGTAACCTTATTACATATTTTCATAGACTTTTCTAGAATAGTTCTATTTAAGCTATCTAATTCAATCTTTCACATTCCACATAGTAATCTAGGTATATAGCCCCACTGCGAAAGCTTTGTCTACTGTCCCTACCTGTGTTCGAACCAGGGATATCGCCAGTCACTTCACACCATCTGCGATGCTCTCAAAGTAACTACTCCCAGTTCATAGAGCAAGTGACGTCACCAAATGAAAATCGCAGTAGCTTTCACCTCAGCAAAAAACTATCTCTCTCTTTGATTCCCTATTGTATAATTTAGTTTTTCTATTTAACCCCTAAACACGCTCGCTACAAATAGTCCATTCAACATTACCAAACCAAATACTCATCGTACCCATTCAATCAACACATCAGCCGTGTAATTTACACTCATAAATGCAGATTGTTACTCCATGCCTTGAAATGATAAATAGATTTCCACCAATAGCATATTACAATGATTTCTTATTTTACCCTCTGACACAAAATGAAGTTCCCTCACTGTACTACGTTAGCTCTACCATGATAATTAGTTCAATTTAACCCTCTATTTGTTTTGTACTATATTATACATTACGTCTAAAACAACATTACTTATGGTCAGTTTATTCCGCCATCATATTATCCAACAACGCCACAATCTTAAACTCATATGGGGCGGCCGACAGTTTAGTGACCAATAGCGCCGCGCCAACAACCGAGAGGTCACCGGTTCCAATCCCCGAGCCGACCAGGCGAAAAATCTGCCGATGTGCCCTCGAGCAAGGCACTCAACCCCAATTGTTCCCATAAATCGCTCTAGACAAGAGCGTCTGCCAAATTACCAAAAACGCACATGTAAATATTCTCTACTTTCTCACCCAACGCACGTCTACGCTCGGTGAGCAAGTTTAGAACACTCTCTCGTCAGATACCCACATGCGTTCCCAGCCATCTCCCAGTCTTTTCATGGCTCCAAAAGCCACACTTTCGCTCTCTCCAGCCCCTCCCCTCGCAACTCTACCTTTTTGAGGAGCTGTGAGGAGCTGCTTCTCGTCCCAGCGCGCCTCCAATATTCCGCCGTTACTCAAAGTACTCCAGTCCATTTATTTAAATCAAATAATTCCCACCTAATTAGTTAAAGTTGGTGCACGTTTATAAACCGAATTATTTCGGTCTAATTGTTTAACCAGTATTTTGCACGGTCAAACATCAAACGTTAAATCAAATAATAAACCAAATAGCCCAAACCAAGCACCTAAAACCAGTATTATTCTATGTCAAACATCAAACCTCAAATCAAATACTAAACCGAATTGTTTCGACACAACTATTCAAAAGCAGTATTATGCTATTTCAAACACCAAACGTTATATTTCAATATATCAATTCAACCGTTTTAGTTCAGTCACACAATTCATCACTTTAGCTTTATGTTCCCAATTGTTTTTAACGGGTTATATGGTTTGAGTAACCACAAATCCAACATTTATTCCCAAATTATACCGTTTGGTCAGCCACAAACGTCTTTTGATTCCCAATTTGTTTTCTATCAAGGTATACAGGTTTATCATTCACACTTTCATGCATCCGACAACACTCGCACTGTCTAACTTTTATAGTACCTCCTATGGGTGTTTTTTGTTAACGTTTGCACAATTTAAACCTTATTTCCTATTTGTAATTCTCATTATTTACTGTTTTAAAATATTCTTTGTATTCACAGCCAAAAATGGTACACAGTTAAGCGTAGTATACAGTTATCACACAGCAAAAATAGTACACAGTTATCGCCCTCACTCACAATACACAGTCATAATCCTATCATACAGTCAAATATGTCACACAGTCATCAATTACACCCATGTTCCACACACAATCTATTTGGGCACACAGCCTCTTCTATTTTATTCAAAACACTGTGCTGAACCTAGCCGCAACCCTTAGTTACGGACCTTGCCAGTCACCAGTATTACAGCCGCGTCTATTTTATTCAAAACACTGTGCTGAACCTAGCCGCAACCCTTAGTTACGGACCTTGCCAGTCACCAGTATTATCTAAAATTTCCCGAACCTTAGCCGTATCCTTGTATTTACGGACCTTGCCGGTGTAATTCTTCGAACCTAGTCGTACTGTCGTAGTTACGAACCTTGTCGATAGCAATTACTTAAGCCAATTATTCCCTGTATCTTCGAACCTAGCCGTGCCCTCCGCAGTTACGGACCTTGCCGATAGATGTCAGTATTTTCTCCGAACCTAGCCGTACCCTTTTAGTTACGGACCTTGCCGGTAGAACAAATACTCTCTGGTACCATGGTTTTTTAAACATCACATTTAGCAAAGGTTTGCATGTCACAATATTGTGCTTGTCTACTCATAATAGTTTCATAATTTAGTTCACTTACATCAGACAGGTGTTTCACAAAATTAATTTGGATAAAGCCAATGTGCAGATCTTTGGTTATTTAACAACAGGTATCTGCTTACCTTTATAGAAGCCCGGGCAGTTTGTGAAACACACGGTTCGATTAAAGAGTTGACCAAATGGGCCAGACATTTACCCAGCGAAGTCCCTTCTACCAGATCACGTCGGGGTCACCAATTGTCAATGTCGCGTCAATTCAAATCTGGTATCAGGAACAAAAGAGGTCAACACGACTTCTAAGGTATACTAGTTATTTTAATTAATGCAAAAACCTTCAATGGTAAATATGATGTTTCGTATATACGGGCTCTCTGATATGTCTCGCAGGACACTCCAGAGAACTAACACATTGTTTTCAGAAACAATACCCAAATACCCTGACAGAAAGTTTCCCACTTCTCTGCTGGCCAATTAGAGTAAAGACTTGAGCGTGGTTTACACTATCTCAGCCAATCCGTTGATGCAGTGGTTGCTCTCATCTCCTCGGCGCCATTTGTTACACACTTAATCCAGGCACAAGATTATCATAACAACCTGTCATAGTGAGAAGAGCCAGCTCCCTTAGACATCATTCCCATGTCAAAGGAAGACTCATAGATGACAATGAACTATTATAGTCTTGTATTTGAAGACACAATCCTTATCTTCTCTTCACATCAATCACAGCCTTGCCAGGTGTCACAGCCTACATTAGCCCAGTCAAGACTGCACTCCTTCTAAGTTAGTCATCCCATCAATCTAAGAGAATAATAAATCCCCAATACATGCATTGTGATTTCTGATAAGATCAAGACAAGGACACATTTGAAGCATGTTGAAAAAGCTTCCCTCTTTTTATTTTACCATTCATCTATTGCTGTGGAAATGTTGACTATTTTGACATTTTAGTCATTTACATTTAGCAGGCGCTCTTATCCAGAGCGAGTTACAGGAGCAATTAGGGTTAAGTGCCTTGCTCAAGGGCACATCAACAGATTTTTCACCTGGTCTGCTCGGGATTAGAACCAGCGACCTTTCGGTTACTGGCACAACGCTCTTAACCACTAAGCTACCTGCCGCCCCATCAATCGACAACGCTATTACCAGTTTCTTTACAAAGAGCAAGTATAGTCAGGTGTGACATAGATACAAAATGTACAGTGATATAGCAATTTGATTGGTTGTAAATGCAGAATATATTTTACTCATCATGGCAAGGTTGCTGCATTTTTTGTTTGAAATCAATATGAAGTTATACGTGCAAAATGATTCGGTGCCATCAGTACAACATACACTCCTGAGTGGCGCAGTGGTCTAAGGCACTGCATCGCAGTGCTAACTGTGCCACTAGATCCTGGTTCGAATCCAGGAGACTCATGGGCGGCGCACAATTGGCCCAGCGTCGTCCAGGGTAGGGGAGGGAATGGCCGGCAGGGATGTAGCTCAGTTGATAGAGCATGGCGTTTGCAACGCCAGGGTTGTGGGTTCGATTCCCACGGGGGGCCAGTATAAAAATAAATATGTATTCACTAACTGTAAGTCGCTCTGGATAAGAGCGTCTGTAAAATGTAATAAAATAACATGTATTTGGGGACATTTTTGTCCACATGTGCAAGTTTCAACTCAACTGATTCATGCATCCTATTCAGCACTATTCCCCTCTGCTGCTCCTTCACTCAATATCATTTGAGTTTCCAGAGGAATGGGTCATTTTTACTTCAATATCTGTGGACAAAAAAGAAAACCAACAGGAGTAATGAGTTGCATGAAAGACACAATCTAATCCCAAGCCGGATCTCGAACTGAGCCTGGGGACAAGGTTATGCAAGACTACATAAAAGCAAAACAATTCAAAACAATCAATTTTTGGAGAGGTTGTATGACCCTTATAGGGCAACAGATACAATACCTGGGCACGGTCCACTTTCAAACACAATGTTGTCAATGGCTATATCACTTCTTATTGAGGAACCCCTGATGGCCTCAAATACAATCTAGAACAATAGGAGAAAAAGAACAACAAGTGATGACTCAGTAAAAAAGTATTTGGCCTGAGCACATGTTGTGAATAAGACTGGGTGCAGTAGTAGTGAGTGTAATTCTTCAAATCTTTGCCTGAATATCGTTTTGTAATTTGGAGGTGGTGTTATCAAAGAAAAGATGGTGAATAAATGAATATATACTGAACAAAAATATAAATGCAACAATCAACAATTTCAACGATTTTACTGAGTTACAGTTCATATAAAGAAATCAGTCAATTTAAATAAATAAATTAGGCCCTAATCTATGGATTTCACATGACTGAGCAGGGGCGCAGCCATGGGTGGGCCTGGGAGGGCATAGGCCCACCCACTGGGGAGCCATGCCCAGCCAATCAGAATGAGGTTTTCCCCACAAAAGGCCTTTATTACAGACAGAAATATTCCTCAGTTTCATCAGCTGTCCGGGTGGTTGGTTTCAGACGATCCCACAGGTGAAGAAGCCGGATGTGGAGGTCCTGGGCTGGCGTGGTTACACGTGGTCTGCGGTTGTGAGGCTGGTTGGACATACTGCCAAATTCTCTAAAACGACGTTGGAGGCGGCTTATGGTAGAGAAATTAACATTTCATTATCTGCAACAGCTTGGGTGGACATTCCTGCAGTCACCATGCCAATTGCACGCTCCCTCAAAACATGAGACATCTGTGGCATTGTGTTGTGTGACAAAACTGCACATTTTAGAGTGGCCTTTTATTGTCCCCAGCAAAGGTGCACCTGTGTAATCAGCTTCTTGATATGCAACACCTGTCAGGTGGATGGATTATCTTGGAAAAGGATGAAAAAGCGTCTCTAAATGGCATATATAAAATAAGAAATGCTCACTAACAGGGATGTAAACAAATTTGTGCACAAAATTGGAGAGAAATAAGCTTTTTGTGCATATGGAACATTTCTGGGGTAGTTTATTTCAACTCATGACACATGGGACCAACACTTTATATGCTGCGTTTATATTTTTGTTCAGTATAGTTCACTCAGGCAGTTTAACATTGGAAAAAAAGGTCAGTTCCAGTTTACTTAACTGGGTGTCTCTCATAGACACAAATGCAATAACAGCTAATTAGTTCATTGACTTACATCGAACCAGAAAAAAAACAGAATAAAACAACGAGTTGGGTGTCTCTTTCCTCTTACATCTCTGGTGTTATTGTACAGTGGAGGAAAGGGATTATGGGTAGTGAAGTTTTTCACCACTTGCCTGATGCTGTTGGTCACTCCGGTATTCCACAGTGGCTCTCAGCCAGGTGATGCTCTGCTCTCCAGTGCGTTTCCATAGCAACTCGTCCTTTCCATCCTTGCGCAGATGGATACTGAGCTCACCCGTGCCCGAGCCGTACATGTGGTAGAAGAAACGCAGGCACTGAGGACACCTGGACCCCCTCAGAGGACTGGAGAATAGTCTGGCATTTTGACCAGGCAGCATGTTAGAGGCCTCAATGTGCATGTAGTACCCTGACAAACAGAGTTTCACAGGGTCAAACTCTAACTATCATGGTATAACATGGAAACAGACTACAGTGAGATGTCACATTTACACTCCTTCAGTGAATGCTAGAGGGAGTTGGATACTCACCGACTCCTGTGGTGTGATCCCCCCTTGGCCCGGTGTAAGAAGTGGGGGTAGGCCCTCTCACCAGTACCCAGTCACCCTTATCACCCTCTTTGTCCTGAATGTACCCACAGTGACCCGTCTCAAAGTTACAGTGCCCAGGGACAGACAGGAGAAGACCTGTATATGGACACCCAAAAAGACTCTCAAGGAGCTACATTATGTTTATCACAGAGGCACTACTTCTAGAGATCTCCCAGAGATCCTGTGGGCATACGTGAAGGTAAAGTTACCTGTTGTAAGATCACAATCCCCGAGGCTCACACTGATGTCATCCAGAGCAACTGACCCACAGTCCCAGAAGTTCGTACATGTGCTGACAAACACCACCTGGACAGCAGGGGCAGAGTGGGTGACATCATCAACAACAACAGACATTCTCAGAGGATATAGCTTCTGGACAATGTAACTGCATAATACATTTGCAGACAGTTACATCTATTTCATTCATTGTGATACGGTATAATTCATGTTTTAACAGGGCAAAAGCAGTTTAAAAAGAAAAACCATTGAGGAGAATCTCTGACTACTGACTTCAGGATCTTGTTTAATTCTATGTGAAACATATGAAACCTTGTCATCTAACTGCTTCTCCTTATAAAGCTGGATTCAAACCAAAAGACTGACAATAAAAAAAACAATGTCAAAGATACAATGTAAAGCCGAACAAACTTCAAAGCCCCAAACACAAGGATTTCAGTTACAAACATTATGAAACACTATAGGAAGGGCATGCACAGGACATCAGTTGTTGTGACTGAGGAATGAAAACAACAACTAACTAAAAAGGGAAATATTATGTTAAGCCATTTTACATTGGCAACATGTGGACTCTGGAAGGTGATCTCCGTCGCTATCCAGACACCTCTGGACTTGTCGTTCTGGGTCCATATCCTCTCCTGTGTGATTCCGCTCTGATCCTGAAGGTAAACGGTGAGAGCCTGGTCGGTCTGGATGAATCCATGGAGAGAGTAGTGGAACCTCAGACAGTACTTCATGTTGCCGGGCAGAAGAGGCCCGAGCAGGCGGCTAATATAGCCAGCACGTGGATTCAGCCGGGAGTGGGCCAGAAGGAAGGATCCTGTGGGGAGAGAAATAACTCTTATTATCGTCTTGCGCAACTCTGTTTCCTGTCAATCGGTTTGCCATGGAATATTTTCACTTTGCACCCATTGGTCAAGTCTCAAGTCTCACAATACGTCATTGTTTAAGTGTCTTTCTCACACCTGAAATACTTCAGGTTTTTACCAAAGCCAAATGTAATGTAGTGCAAATTGTCAGCAGGAGAAGATAGAGAAGCCATCTCTCATTCACTATTTGCGCCTCTAGCATCTCTTGGTGGTCAAAATCGTATAATCTCTTACCTGCCCCTGTTGTGTGGTCCCCAGTCCTGTAAATGTTGGGCTTGACTGACACTCTCTTCCATGGGGACCCTTCCTTTTGATCCTGTGTGTAGCGGCAGAAACCACCCTCAAAGTCACAGTTGGCAATGGAGGGATCAAAGGTTGGCTCTGCGGCACACATGGGAGACATTAGGAGGCTGCATCCCAATACTCTTTAATAGCATGCTTTTCTCCTATCTTACCTTTCAACTAATCTATGTAAGTCATGAGAGTTAGGAGAAGAGGAAAGGGACAATCTGAATCTACTGTGTGATCACATGGGATATGTTCCGGGTCGCCTCTGGGAATAACATTGGCGATTACACTGACTCGGTCATCAGGAAGTGCATAGAGGATGTTGTTTCTACAGTGACGATCAGAACATATTCAAACCAAAAACCGTGGATAGATGGCAGCATTCGCACAAAACTGAAAGTGTGAAACACTTAATTTAACCACGGCAAAGTGACCGGGAACATGGACATGTACAAACAGACCAGCTATGACCTCCGTAAGGTGATCAAAGAGGCGACAAAGTGGAGTCGCAATTCAACGGCTAAGACATGTGGCGTATGTGGCAGGGACTCCAGACAATCGGATTATAAAGGGAAAACCAGCCACGGCACTGACACCAACGCCTCACTCCCAAATATGCCGAACACCTTCTTCACCTCGTTTGAGGAGAATAACACAGATCCGCCGACTGCAGCCCACTCTGCTCACGAGGACTGTGATCTCTAGATCTCTGTGGCCGATGTGACTTTCAAGCGAGTTAACCCTCGCAAGGCTGCTGGCCCGGATGGCATCCCCAGCCGCGTCCTCAGAACATGCGCAGACCAGCTGGCTGGAGTGTTTATGGACATATTCAATCTATCCATATCCCAGTCTGTCGTCCCCACTTTCTTCCACCATTGTTCTGGTACCCAAGCAAGCGAAGGTAACTGAACTAGTAGTACTCACTTCTGTCATCATGAAGTGCTTTGAGAGGCTTATCAAGGACCAGATTATCTCCACTTTACCAGACACCCTCGACCCACTACAATTTGCATACCACCCCAACAGATCCACAGATGACGCAATAGCCGCTGCACTGCACACCACCCTATCCCACTTGGACACATCACGAAGGACCTGAAATGGGCCCACCACACCGACACAGTAGTGAAGAAGGCGCAACAATGCCTCTTCAAACTCAGGAGACTGAAGAAATTAGGCATGGCCCCTTGACCCTCACAAACTTCTACAGATGCACCATCGAGAGTATTCTGTCAGGCTGCATCACTGCCTGCTACGGCAACTGCACTGCCCACAACCGCATGGCTCTCCAGAGGGTGGTGCGGCCAGTCCAACGCATCACTGGGGACATACTGCCTGCCCTCCAGGACATCTACAGCACCCGGTGTCATAGGAAGGCCAAGATCATCAAGGACCTCAGCCACCCGAGACATGGCCTGTTCACCCTGCTACCATCTAGCAGATGGAGACAGTACGGGTTTATCAAAGCCAGGACCGAGAGACTGAAAAACTACTTCTATTTCCAGGCCTCAGACTGTTGAACAGCCATCACTAGCCGGCCACTGCCCAGTCCTCTGCCCGGCACCTTAGACACTGTCACTAGCCTAATATTGAGTTGCCGTAGCTTTCACCTGGATTCACCTGGTTGGTCTGTCATGGAAAGAGCAGGTGTTCATAATGCTTTGTACACTCAGTTTATATAGAAACATTAAACACTGGTCACTTTAACAATGTTTACATACTGTTTTACCAACTTTATATGTATATACTGTATTCTAGTCATGGCTAATCCTATATACTGTAACTACTGCTGTACACACCTTTTCTATTCATATACTGTCCATATAGTCTATACACACCATTTATAAATATATTGATATTCCGGACTCTGACATTGCTCATTCTCATATTTCTGATGTTCTAACTTTTGGAATTATGTGTGTATTGTTATTGTATTGCTAGATATTATTGCACTATTGGAGAAAGAAACATAAGCACTTCACTGCACCTGCGATAACATCTGCAAATCTGTGTACGCGACCAATAAACGTTGATTTGATTTGATGAAAACAGGAGGAGAGAGACCAAACACACAGACCCACCTGTCTCTGCACTACAGAACTCGGGAGAAAAGGTAATGTCATCGAGTGCCACTTGACCCCCTCTGGGGCTGTTGAAGGCCACTTCAAACACCACCTGGAGATAGCAGGTGTACACATACAATCATAGAACATCAGGCCAGCACATACAAAGAAGTGGACATGCTGCTCACTGTACATTTTACATTTACGTCATTTAGCAGACGCTCTTATCCAGAGCGACTTACAGTAGTGAGTGCATACATTTTCATACTTTTTTTTTTCCATACTGGCCCCCGTGGGAATTGAACCCACAACCCTGGCGATGCAAGCGCCATGCTCTACCAACTGAGCTACACTGTACTTAGTATTCAATCAGAATGTAAATCCAATTTGTACTCCTTGTGAAAACATCTGCACCCCACTGACCTGCAGAGGGTGCGGGGCCTTGATGTCCACCTGCACAGGTATCCACTCAGAGGTTGTATTGGTCCAGTCATTAAGGTTCTGGTCCTCTGGGTCAGATCTCCACAGATCTTGGTACTGGCCTGCCTGGTCCCTGGTGTAGACGGAGAACAGGTTCCCTCGCTCTTCACCCCGCCGGTACTGGAAGATCAGGCAGCCCGACATTGGCACCGTTGTCAAGGGAGACACCAGTTTGGCTACCTCCTGGAATGTCTTGGCGTACACTGAATCCACATACATGTAGTGACCTAAGAGGCAATGGCATCTTTCATTTTCAACTTGAAGTAATTATGGATGATACAAACTTTAGTTTCCCTTGTCCATTGTACTTCCTCAAGCTACAATTTATTGGCAGTTTGCTGCCATATGAAAAAAACGAAAGAGCTTTTGTGAACTATTGGAAGGAGGCCAGTGCTGTCAGTTGAGAGGGTCCCTTGCTGAGTATATATAATGTTGTTGTTCTGTTGAATGTTGATATTGTACTAAGTTATTTGTTTTGGTTGTGTTTCGTTTTAGCTGTGTTATTTGCTATTGACCTGTGTTGGGCTGTGCTATCTGCTTTTTTGTTGTTGTTGAGCTACGATATACATCTACTAGCATTTAAATGTGTGAGTTGCTAAGACTGCACCTGCTCCGTTGCTCCGCGTGTGGTCATCAGGTAGGTTACTCTGAGGGTCCCGTGCAGCCCCACCTCTCCTGTACCAGTTGATATTGGTGTTCCACTGATTTCTGTAGCCACACAGGTGGGACTCCTCGTAGTTGCACTCTGGAGACAACAGCACAGTAAACCATGAATAAACCACCACACCATGTGATATCATTAGCATTTCATATACATTAGATAACATACAGTATCATTCCCTGCTAGCACATAACGTTCTGAGTACCATATGTTTCTTCGAACTTGGTGAGAGAATGGTTGTCTTATGGTTATTTTGCATACAACCTTCCCACAACTTTGTGAGAATGGTGCAGGATAGGTACTTGGCTTTGGAACATTCTCAGCACATTTAAGGCACTTTACAAAAAACATAATTTTCTTGGTAATTCATTACTTTAACAGAATATTTCCTAAAAGTTCAAACATGGTTACATTTCATTTAAATGTTGGTAATGTTCTAGGAACGTTTTCCAACTGGTTTGACACTGGGAATGTTCTCAAATAGTTCAGAAAACTTTAAGAAACAACATTCTTCTGTGGGAATTTTAGTATTTCAGCATAACGTTACCTACAGGTTTCCCAATGGTTCTATACTGAACAAAAATGTAAATGCAACATGCAACAATTTCAACGATTTTACTGAGTTACAGTTCATATAAGGAAATAAGTCAATTGAAATAAATTAATTAGGCCCTAATCTATGTATTTCACATGACTGGGCAGGGGTACAGCCAAGGGTGGGCCTGGGAGGGCATAGGCCCACCCACTTGGGAGCCAGGCCCAGCCAATCCACAAAAGGGCTTTATTATAGACAGAAATACTCCTCAGTTTCATCAGCTGTCCGGGTGGCTGGTCTCAGACGATCCCACAGGTGAAGAAGCCAGATGTGGAGGTCCTGGGCTGGCGTGGTTACACATGGTCTGCAGTTGTGAGTCCAGTTGGACGTACTGCCAAATTCTCTAGAACAACATTGGAGGCGGCTTATGGTAGAGAAATTAACATTAATGTCAGATGAACCGATGTGGATGTGGTGGAGGAGTCAGGCGCAGGACACAGAGGCTTCGTCCCACAGACTTTACTAGTCAAAAGTGCAAAAATACAATACACGGCCTCGAAACAAACAGAGGCGAGTGAATACGTAAACCATGCGTAAACACTAAACAAACAAACAGAGCGTCAACACGCAGCTCCGAAATACAGGCAGACAACAACACACAATCTAACCAATACAAAACAGGGAACTTATAGGACACGTAATCAGAACACAAACAGACACAGGTGTACAAGACAGACCAAAGCAATCACACCACGAAACATTCAACGGTGGCAGCTAGTACTCCGGGGACGGCGAACGCCGAAGCCTGCCCGAACCAGGAGGAGGAGCAGTCTCGGCCGAAACCGTGACAGTACGTGCGCCGACCCCGGCTTCGGGGACGGCCAGGAGGACGCGGATCCGGGCGCGTGGGATGCCCACGGTGGAACTCAGTCAGGAGGGATGGATCTAGGATGTCCCTCCTAGGCACCCAGCACCGTTCCTCCGGACCGTACCCCTCCCACTCCACGAGATACTGGAGACCACTCATCCGGCGCCTCGAGTCCAAGATGGTCCGGACCCTGTACGCCGGGGCCCCCTCGATGTCCAAAGGGGGCGGAGGGGTCTCTCCTATCTCATCTTATTGGAGTGGGCCAGCTACCACCGGCCTGAGAAGAGACACATGGAACGAGGGGTTAATATTCTTGTACTCAATAGGCAGTTGTAACCTGTAACACACCTCGTTCAATCTTCTCAGGACTTTAAAGGGCCCCACAAACCGCCGACCCAGCTTCCGGCAGGGCAGGCGGAGGGGCAGGTTTCGAGTCGAGAGCCAGACTCGATCTCCCGGTGCGTACACCGGTCCCTCACTGCGGTGGCGATCGGCGCTCGCCTTTTGTTGACGGATGGCCCACTGCAGATGGACATGGGCAGCGTCCCACGCCTCCTCCGAGCACCGAATCCACTCGTCCACCGCAGGGGCCTCGATCTGGCTCTCGTGCCACGGTGCTACGGTGCCAGGACCGGCTGATGCCCTAAAACACACTGGAAAGGTGTTAAATTGGTGGAGGAGTGGCGGAGAGAGTTCTGGGCCATCTCTGCCCAGGGGATATACCTAGACCACTCCTCCGGCCGGTCCCGGCAATAGGACCTCAGAAACCTACCCACATCCTGGTTGACTCGTTCAACCTGCCCATTGCTCTCTGGGTGGTACCCCGAGGTAAGGCTCACCGAGACCCCCAAGCGTTCCATGAACGCCCCCCAGACTCTGGAGGTGAACTGGGGACCTCGGTCAGACACAATATCCTCGGGGACCCCATAGTGCCGGAACACGTGGGTAAATAGGGCCTCGGCGGTCTGTAGGGCAGTAGGGAGACCCGGCATTGGGAGGAGACGACAGGCCTTGGAGAACCGATCCACAACGACCAAAATGGTGGTATTCCCCTGGGAAGGGGGTAGGTCGGTTACAAAATCCACCGAGAGGTGGGACCATGGTCGTTGTGGAACGGGCAGGGGATGTAACTTACCCCTGGGCAAATGTCTAGGCGCCTTACACTGGGCGCACACCGAGCAGGAGGAGACATAAACCCTCACATCCTTAGCTAACGTTGGCCACCAGTATTTCACGCTAAGGCAGTGCACTGTCCGGCCAATACCTGGATGTCCAGAGGAGGGTGATGTATGAGCCCAATAAATAAGACGATCATGAACCTCGAGCGGAACGTACGTCCGCCCCACAGGACACTCGGGGGGAGTAGGGTCGGTACGCAGTGCCCGCTCGATTTCCGCATCGACCTCCCATAACACCGGAGCCACCAGACAAGACTCCGGCAGTATGGAAGTAGGCTCAATGGCCCTCTCCTCTGTGTCATACCGCCGGTACAGGGCGTCTGCCTTACCGTTCTGGGACCCTGGGATGTATGTGATCTTAAAAACAAACCGGGTCAGGAACATGTTCCACCTAGCCTGACGAGGGTTCAATCTCCTAGCTGCCCGGATGTACTCTAGGTTACGGTGATCAGTCAGAATGAGGAAAGGGTGTTGAGCCCCCTCAAGCCAATGCCTCCACACCTTTAGGGCCTGGACTACAGCTAACAGCTCCCTGTCCCCAACGTCATAATTGCGCTCCGCCGAGCTGAGCTTCTTGGAGTAGAACGCACAGGGGCGGAGCTTAGGTGGCGTGCCGGACCGTTGTGACAGGACTGCCCCAATACCGGTCTCGGACGCGTCTACCTCTACTTGGAATGGTAAAGAGGGATCCGGATGCGCCAGCACCGGGGCCGAGGTGAACAGGTTCTTCAGTTTGACAAATGCCCTGTCCGCCTCAGCTGACCACTGCAAACGAACCGGACCCCCCTTTAGCAGGGACGTAATGGGAGCTGCAACCTGTCCAAAGCCCCGGATAAACCTCCGGTAGTAATTAGCAAAACCCAAGAACTGCTGCACCTCTTTTACAGTGGTTGGAGTTTGCCAATTACGCACGGCCGACACATGGTCTACCTCTATCTCCACACCAGACGCGGACAACCGATAACCCAAAAAGGAGACGGACTCCTGGAAGAACAGGCATTTCTCTGCCTTGACATACAAGTCATGCTCCAACAGTCTTCTCAACACTCGGCGCACCAGGGCTACATGCTCGGCTCGTGTAGAAGAGTACACTAGGATGTCGTCGATGTACACTACCACACCCTGCCCATGCATGTCCCGGAAAATCTCGTCAACAAAGGATTGGAAGACTGAAGGAGCATTCATTAACCCGTATGGCATGACGAGATACTCGTAATGACCCGAGGTGGTGCTAAATGCTGTTTTCCATACATCCCCCTCCCTAATGCGCACAAGATTGTACGCGCTCCTGAGATCCAACTTTGTGAAGAACTGCGCTCCGCGTAATGATTCTGTCATAGTCGCAATCAGTGGAAGAGGGTAACTGTACTTAACCGTGATCTGATTGAGACTACGGTAATCAATACACGGGCACAAACCCCCGTCCTTCTTCTTCACAAAGAAGAAACTCGAGGAAACCGGGGAAATGGAGGACCGTATGTATCCCTGTGCCAAGGACTCGGCTATGTAAGTCTCCATAGCCGCAGTCTCCTCTTGAGACAGGGGATACACACGGCTCCGCGGAAGTGCCGCTCCTGTTTGGAGGTTTATCGCACAGTCCCCCTGTCTATGAGGTGGTAGCCGTGTTGCCCTCGTTTTGCTGAACACAAGTGCTAAGTCCTCATACTCAGGGGGAATGCGCATTGCGGGCACTTGGTTCGGACTCTCTACCGAGGTCGCCCCTAAGGAAACACCTAGACATTTCCCTACACACTGGGCAGACCACTCCATAAGAGCCCTCTGTTGCCACGCAATGGTAGGATCATGGGCGCTTAACCAGGGAAGCCCCAGCACCACGGGGTACGCAGGAGAGTCAATCAGATAAAACTGAATGATCTCCTCATGACCCCCCTGCGTCGTCATCTTAAGTGGTGCTGTGACTTCTCTGATCAGCCCCGACCCCAACGGCCGGCTGTCTAGGGCGTGGACAGGAAAGGGGGCTTCTACCGGCCGAAGGGGAATTCCTAACCTATAATAAAATGCACGATCAATAAAATTCCCAGCTGCGCCTGAATCTACTAGCGCCTTATGCTGGGAATAAGGTGCCACCTGTGGAAATCTCACAGGAATACTCATGTGACCAACAGAGAGCTCTGGGTAAGTGGGGCGCCTACTCACCTGAAATGACTCCCCAGTGCGTGACCTGTTGTCCCCTCTCCCAGGAGACCCTCCCCAGCACCTGGCCGCGGTGTGTCCTCCACGGCCACAGTTGGTGCAGGGGATGGCCCCCCTCGGGTTCTCTCTCCTCCTCTCTCTAGCGCCAGCACCCCCGAGCTCCATGGGAATCGGCTCGGAGGTGCTGGAGGGTGGAATGGACGACCCCCACTCGGGACGTCCGCGGGTAGCCAGCAGGGTGTCGAGACGGATGGAGATGTCCACCAACTGGTCGAAGGATAGGTTGGTGTCCCTGCAGGCCAGCTCACGACGAACGTCCTCTCGTAGGCTACACCGGTAATGGTCGATGAGGGCCCTCTCATTCCACCCCGCATCCGCTGCTAGAGTCCGGAACTCCAGGGCGAACTCCTGTGCGCTCCTCTTCCCCTGTCGGAGGTGGAACAGACGCTCCCCCGCCGCCTTTCCCTCAGGTGGGTGATCGAAGACAGCCCTGAAGCGGCGGGAGAACTCCGCGTAGGTGATGGTAGCGGCGTCTATTCCCCTCCATTCGGCGTTGGCCCACTCCAACGCCTTGCCGGATAGACAGGAGATGAGGGCGGAGACGCTCTCGTATCCCGAGGGCGCTGGGTGTAGGGTAGCCAGGTAAAGTTCCACCTGCAGGAGGAACCCCTGACACCCGGCTGCAGAACCGTCATATGCCCTCGGGAGCGAGAGCCGAATGCCCCTGGGTTCCGGTGCTGAGAGAGGAGGACTGGCCGTTGGTGATGGGATGGTGTAAGAAGACGTGGGCACCTCCCCAGTAACCAACCGGCGCAGAGTGTTGGACACCTCGTCCATGGCGGACCCAAGTTGCCGGATCATGGTGTCCTGATAGCTGATCCGTTCCTCCAGCGACTTGGGTGTCGCAGCTGCTCCTGCTGACTCCATGGTTGGTGTGTTGTTCTGTCAGATGAACCGATGTGGATGTGGTGGAGGAGTCAGGCGCAGGACACAGAGGCTTCGTCCAACAGACTTTACTAGTCAAAAGTGCAAAAATACAATACACGGCCTCGAAACAAACAGAGGCGAGTGAATACGTAAACCATGCGTAAACACTAAACAAACAAACAGAGCGTCAACACGCAGCTCCGAAATACAGGCAGACAACAACACACAATCTAACCAATACAAAACAGGGAACTTATAGGACACGTAATCAGAACACAAACAGACACAGGTGTACAAGACAGACCGCGAACGCCGAAGCCTGCCCGAACCAGGAGGAGGAGCAGTCTCGGCCGAAACCGTGACAATTAAATTCTCTGGCAACAGCTCTGGTGGACATTCCTGCAGTCACCATGCCAATTGCACGCTCCCTGAAAACTTGAGACATCTGTGGCATTGTGTTGTGTGACAAAACTGCACATTTTAGAGTGGCCTATTATTATCCCCAGCACAAGGTGCACCTGTGTAATGATCATGGTGTTTAATCAGCTTATTGATATGCCACACCTGTCAGGTGGATGGATTATCTTGGCAAAGGAGAAATTCCCACTAACAGGGATGTAAACAACATTTTTTTTATTGTGACACTGCATCAGTGTAATTCGAACCTATAATCTTATTTTCTCTATCCATGGAATTAGTCCACTGCACCCCCAGGATGGCGTTAGCATGCCATTTTAGTCTGTTTAAAGAGACCCCATTTAAAAGGAAACAAGCACTCATTAAGATCAGGTGTTGCCAACACGTCTGAACACACTTAACAAGACAGAGGATAGAAAGAGTTTTGTTGATGCTGAGAACTGAATGTATACGTTTTCTTGTGGTTTTTATGGAAAGTTTTCTTAACGTTCTCTGAACAATTTAAGAACATTACTTTAAATAGAACCATGAGGAAACCTGTAGGTAACGTTCTGCTTAAGTACTGAAATTCCCACAGAAGAATGTTGTTTCTTAACAGTCTCTGAACTATTTGAGAACATTCCCAATGTCAAACCAGTTGGAGAACGTTTTTAGAACATTACGAACATTTAAATAAAATGGAACCATATTTGAACTTTTAGGAAACGTTCTGTTAAAGTAATGAAATACCAATAAATATATATATTTTTGTCAAGTTCCTTAAATGTGATGAGGATGTTCCAAAGCCAAGCAACTATCCTGCACCATTCCCAGAAAGTTGTCGGAAGGTTGTATGCAAAAAAGCAATAGGACATCCACGCTCTCACCAAGCTCTAAGAAACATATGGTTCTTAGAACGTTATGTGCTAGCTGGGGGGCGTATGTGCATGATATCATACACTTTCAAAGTCTTACAAATCCCATGGGTATATGATATGTGTGCGATTCACTGACCTAAGCAGTATCCAGAGCTGATGCGTATCTCAAAGATGGCCACACTGCTGCCTGTGCTCTCACCGGGTCTGCCATCAATGACAATCTGATGGGAAACAGATGTTCAGTAATGGCCCTCAATCAGTAATGAAGTAGGAGGGGATATGGAGGTATAGTATGTCTGTGCTCCATTATCCCTGCTGAAAAAAACATTTCAAGCTGGTCTATTCTGGTCCATGCTGGTCAGTGCTGGTCTGATGCTGTTCAAGCTGTTCTGAACAACATGATCTAACTGGTTTTGCTGGCCGACCAGCATGGTCTAGCTCAGTGGTCACCAACCGGTCGATCACGATCGACTGGTTGATCTCCAAGGCATTCCTAGTCGATCACCAAACATTTCTGTAAAAAATCCAGCGATAAAGCCTTGCGTTTGGCGTAGGTGCACTTGATTCAGCAGCCCTAGCACTGGGAAGGCAAAGTGTTCCCATTTTGAACCATTTCATGTGTCTGAAGGTAGAACGCCTACTCAGTAGGCCCAGAGAACAAATCAAGTGCACCTATAGGCCTACCGCTGGCCAATGAGATAGCTCAGATCACCATGTCTGCACAGTTTCCTCGAGCTATAAACTGTAAAAAGAAGCCTCGAACGCACAGCAAAGTTGATACTGTGAGATTTCAAAACGTTTAAAACCATGACTACAGCCTGTGTGCAGTGCACCGCACGTTTCCACCATGCTCCCTTATTTCTATCAATCCAGTCAGGTTGTGCAGCAGGAAGTACATTTAAGAGGTTACATGCCATACAACAGGGGTCGGCAACCTAAGGCATGTGTGCCAGCCTTGGCAAGTGAGGGTATGCTAGCTGGGGGGCGTATGAGCCACCCCCCTTGCGTGGTGTGCTAAGCCTTGGCTGGACGTTTATTATCTCACTTATTTTTGCCATAAAAAAAATAAAAAAATGAAACTGGAGAAAATAATTGAAATTGCATGCATTGGTTTCGAAATTGCATTGGTATTCACTGCAATGTTGTAGTTCCCAAGGTATATCAATCCTGATTAGCCAATAGAATAGTTTCATATTATTAGTTCAGAGCAAGATGACCCGCCTCTCCCGCCAAATTTGGCAGCGCTGAAGATGAGAAATGTGTTTTCTCATGGCTAGCAGCTAGCAAACCTTCTTTTGTTATTTAAAAAAGTTCAGGGCGCAAAATGTCATTAGCAAAGAAAAATAAGGCATATGTCCGCTCATTTATTGCCTCTTGGACAAAGGAACATGGATTGTTTTACTGAAGGACGGCTCTGTTTGCGCTCTCTATTGTAAAACTGTTGTTTGTCGGACATCAAGTGTATGGCGTCATTTTGAAACGAGACATGAGAAAAACTTCAAGGATGAGGTGGACAAGGCTGAAGGAATCAAGAAGGCCGTCCAGGTATGAAAAGCAAAGCTGTGTGTTTACAAATCTACATGCAGTCACAAATCAAGCTACAGAGGAGAGCTACAAAGTTGCACAGTGCATTGCTAAACATGGAAAACCATTTACTAATGGGGAATATATCAAGGAGGCTTATTTGATGGATTACCTAAGAAAGACACAATCATCTCAAAGATAAAAGAGATGCCTGTGTCTGCCAGAACTGTTGAAAGGCGAGTTGCCGAGATGGTTGAAAATGTAAAGGAGCAGCAAACTGTAGCGTTAAAATATGCACCTGTGTTTAGTGTGGCTCTTGATGAGAGTGTGGATATGAATGACATTCCACGTCTGGCAGTTGTTGCAAGTTACTGTGACTCAGAGCAGGTACGTGAGGAGCTGCATTGTCTAAAACCCATGCATGGTACTACTAAAGGGGAAGATGTAGCAAAAGCCTTCACAGATCGTTTTGAGGAGAGAGGTGTCGATATTAAAAACATATTCACTATTACAACTGATGGTGCCCCCACTATGGTGGGGAAACCTAAAGGATTCTCAAAGCTGATTGAAGATAAGATTGGCCACCCTGTGGTTAAATGTCACTGTATCATTCAACAAGAGAATCTGTGTTCCAAGATCAAGCCCGTGGTGCTAATGGACAGCGCCCCTTTTTAGCGAGCTATGGAATTCTTCCTTTTGTGGGCAATTAGATATTCAATTGACACAATTAGTTGCAATGCACATATGAAAATCATAACTGGCATGCAGATCATTAGAAATGGTAGGATAAATTGTAAAATGGCACTCCACACAAAAAAGGTTGCCGACCCCTGCCATACATTGTAGCAGTACACAGACATGAGAGATTGAGCAGCAGATACGAGACATGCATGTCATTTCATGTTTGGACTAATCAATGTGAGGGCTCTAACATTTTCCAGGCCCCATTCCTCCACCTACGTATGGCAGTGTTTAGATTAGCACATATGTTTTAACAGTGTGTATGTGCCTCCCGTGTTCCTGAGGGTGTGTTGTTTACCCTGTACGGCTCTGTGGTGTTCTGGAGGTCGATGCTAGAGATGAGCCAGCTGTCAGAGGCGGTCTGGGTGCTCCACAGTGTCCAGTCGAAGCTCTCTCCCTCCCTGCGCAGCTGGACCTGCAGGGAGCCCGACCCAGAGAGTTGGTACACCAGCCTGAGACAGCTCCAGTCCTCTTGCTCCATGGCCGGGCTCAGCAGAACCCCCCTGCTCTCTCCCTCTGACCTTTCCTCTCCCTCTGGCCTCTTCTCCTGACTATTCTGGTACTCTAGTCCTGTGTCCACTGAGATAAAAGACCCTGAGAAGACATAGAGACAGTTTGAATAGAGGTACTATGAAAACAGAGAGAGATAGAGAGTATAACAGAATCTACTTCATCTATTGTCATTACGCCTTATTTCAAAGGATGCCAAGGGCGACAGTGGCAGGGAAGGATGGATAGAAAAAAGAAGAGAGGAATCAGATGATGAAGAGGAAGGACTGGAGAAGGTTCGCCACAACAGGACACAAGTAAAAGACAAACACAGGAGGAGACATTCTGTTTGCTCAGTGAACAACAGTTTATGTGTCCCTGTCTCAGGGCAAAACAGAATAATTACAGATCAATTATGATTACATGGTTGCCATAACATTTCATCTGCTTTCTTATGTGTCCTTTGATCATTCTGCTTAAGTGATGATGGACTTATCTGGGGTATAAATATGTATCTAGCACTCTTCAGAATAGTACCAAGTACCAACTCTTAGAGCTGTGAATGCCTAAATGTGCTATTTCACTGACTCCAGATGTGCTCTGATGTTGGAAACAATTGCATTCCAGATGTCTCTCTCTTGCTATTGTCTCTCTCCTTTCCCTCAGAACAACTGCAGAAACCACATCAACAAGTACAACAACTAGTACAACAACTACTACAGGCACTAGAATATTAAAATATGTGTAATAAGCCCCAATAATCTTTGCTGCATAGAAGAGAGGTCACTGTCTTCTTGTGTTTTCCATACACAACAACAGGTTGCCATGCATTTCAAGCACTTCAAAGGGTATAAGCTACTGTATTATAGGCACTTGTCAGTGTAATTTAAAGGGGGTAGGCTTCAACCTTTTTCAAAGTCTCCTACCATCTTTGTTGAGCGTCCAGCTCGTAAAGTCTGGGTCTGACGTGTATCCGCAGGTGCTGGACTCAAAGCTACAGCAGCCTGGCAAGGGCCCATTCTGGCCTTGGACTGTGGCTGGGAGAAGAGAGAAGATGGAGGATATGAATCATACACAGACACTAAAACAAGCATCGCTGCATGTACAAAAACATGCACATATTCACTGCAAATGTGTTTTCTTTACTCACCAAACAGGGTGAAGAGGTAGAATGGAAGCATTGCAGTCTTACATAAAAATGATCCAAGACCAGGAGACGAGCTGAAGTACCTTCAAACAAATGCAGGAGCAAGTGTGCGTGCCAACTAAAATCAATGCCACCCCAAGGTCCACACCGTCATTATCTCTGTCTGGTCATCTGTCAAAGTCTGTTCCTGTCAGTATCAATCAGTATCAATCTGTGTCAGTGGCTCTGTCGGTGGCTCTCCAGCTCACAGACTGGCAGCACACTGTAGAGTCTCAGATTGGAAGACTATATCTGGAGAGTATGCTGTGAGGAGGAGGAGGAGAAGGAGGAGGAGGAGAAGGAGGAGGAGGAGAGAGGGAGGGAGTAATAATCTGTACCAGAATCAGGCAGCAGAACTCTCTCACACTTCTCTCACCTCAGATTCCTGGAGAGTTTGTCTTTATTTATACTGTGGGAGGTAGCCTTTAAGGTACACTGCTTTTGTATTTATACATATTGGTCAGTCCCCAAGTAACCTCGACTCCAGCAGTTCTAGAGAGGTTTCTCCAGAATGTCAAGCACTGATTCTCAATTCACGAAAATATGGTGTTGACTTGAGATATGGCTCGTGACTAGTCTACAGGAGACAGGAAATAATAATACAAGAGATGTAAAAAATGTCCAGCAAGTAAGACATGGTACCAATAAAAGCTAAACATTTTGCAAGCTGCTATGCCTTTTGCCTGCCTGGCCTTTTATCCCAGCTAGCACATTTGGTTCCTTGGAAGTTGTGGGAACGTATGTTTTTTCTTTCACATTGGTTGTTGGAACAATTTAAGAGCATGACTTTAAATAGAACCATGAGGAAAACTGTACGAAACCTTATGCTGAAGTACTGACATTTCCACAAAACAACATTGTTTCCTAACGTTCTTGGAACAATTTGAGAACATGATTTTAAATAGAACCATGAGGAAACCTGTAGGAAACGTTATGCTGAAGTGCTGAAATTCCCTCAGAAGAACGTTGTTTCTTAATGTTCTTGGTGTCACGGTTTCGGCCGAGGCTGCTCCTCCTCCTGGTTCGGGCAGGCTTCGGCGGTCGTCGTCCCCGGAGTACTAGCTGCCACCGATCTATGTTTCATGTTCGTTTGGTTTTGTCTTGATGTTGTACACCTGTGTCTTGTTAGTCCTCGTTAGTGTCCTATTTAGTTCTCGTTGTGTGTGTTTGTCTTTGTGTGTGATTGCTCTTCTGTTTCGTGTTGGAGCTACGTACTTCCCTCCAGTGTTTTGGAGAGGTTTTTCGCACATGTTAGTGCGCCGTTTGTTTGACGCCTGTGTGCGCCGTTAGTTCGCCTTCGGGCTTATTGTGCTTATTTTCTACGTGAATATTGCACTAAAGTCTTTTGGACTGAGCTTCTGCGTCCTGCGCTTGATTCATGCACCACACCCACCTTCAGCACCCCTTGACACTTGGAACAATTTGAGAACATTCCCAATGTCAAACCAGAACGTTCCTAGAACATTACCAAAATTGAAATTAAATGTAACCATGTTTTACATTTTAGGAAATGTTTTGTTAAAGTAATGAAATACCAATAAATAAATAAAAATAATTCAAGTTGCTTAAATGTGCTGAGAATGTTCCAAAGCCAAGCAACTATCCTGCACCATTCCCAGAAAGTTGTGGGAAGGTTGTATGCAAAATAACCATAGGACAACCACGCTCTCACCAAGCTCTAAGAAACATATGGTTCCCAGAATGTTATGTGCTAGCTGGGATGTGTGTCATATGTTTGTATACATGTCCTTGACAACCAAAAATAAACATTGTGAACTGGTCCTTAAATCCCTGCTCTTAATTAAAAATGTTTACAAAAGGCTGACATTCAACACACACACACACATGGCACACGGCACACTGAGTCCTTTGTGAAGCTTCCTTTTCAGAGAGGACTGGCAGTATTCTGTGGCATGGAACATTTTTAGCTGAAAAAGTGACCTGATGGGAATTATGGGTTAAAATTATCAGAAGTAAATCACAAGAGGCTGAATGACAGCCAGCCTTTGATAATAAAAAGATGGTTGTCTGTTAAATTCTGTCATCTGCTTCAGAACATAAACAAATGAATGTCAGAGGGAGGTAAAAGTCAAGAGCCATCAGGGTGATGGATTGGGCAGAGAGGGTCTGATGCTAGTTATACGGCACATCTCACATTCGTCTTCCATATGTACTTTAACTGTCTGGTCTGTTCCTTCGTGTTCGCCTTTCCCTCTTTCCTGAAGGTGCAGTGAAATGCTATACGGGAAAACAGATGGAGGTCAGTTCTGGGTGAAATATTACAGTATACACACTTGATTATGTGAAGGAGGGCCAGACTTCGCTAAGAGTGAAGAGTGGGGTAATTTACAGTGTAAGACCAAGCATTGAGAGAACTGAACCAGCAAGATACACAGAATTCCATTAGGTCGGAAACTACCACAATCATCATAAAATGACAATCAACAAAAACGGTATAAATAACAGCATGTAATTTCTCAAGCACCTTGTAAACTGGGACAATGGTTTCATAAACACCTAAGTGTGCTTGAAGAATATGACATCTGTAGCCACGTGGGTCGACACAGTGCTGTTGTGTGTAAGCTGATACTCTGACAGGTTCTGTGCAGAATGTGGCAAGGGACCAGAGGACTCTATGGGTCAGGTCCTTTTGGGCCCCACCCATCCCCGGGGCCAGCCCAGCCCAGATGGCCTCATTAGGGGCCTGGATGGATAATAGCTAGTCCCCCCTCTCTCTCCTCCCAGAACAATCATCGACGACAGCATCCCAAAAGAATGTCTCTCAACCAGTTGCAGTTGTCAATGTGTGGAGTTTCTAGGCAAGCATTGTGTGGAGTTTCCAGGTCGTCATTGTAAATAAGAATTTGTTCTTAATGACCTGCCTGTTAAAGTAAAATAACAATTACAATTATTTAAAGTCCCTGTTTCTGAATGGCACCAAAGATAATCTGAATAATAATATTATTATTAACATTATAATGCAAGAGCTAGGACATAACCTTTGAATATACAGTACCAGTCAAAAGTCTGGACACACCTACTCATTCAAGGGTGTTTCATATTTGTACTATTTTCTACATTTTAGAATAATAGTGAAGACATCAAAACTATGAAATAACACATATGGAATCATGTAGTAACCAAAAAAGTGTTAAACAAATCATAATATATTTTAGATTTTAGATTCTTCAAAGTAGCCACCCTTTGCCTTGATGACAGCTTTGCACACTCTTGGCATTCTCTCAACCAGCTTCATGAGGTAGTCAACCTGGAATGCATTTCAATTAAGAGGTGTGCCTTGTTAAAAGTTAATTTGTGGAATTTTATTCCTTCTTAATGCGTTTGAGCCAATCAGTTGTGTTGTGACAAGATAGGGGGGTATACAGAAGATTTACCCTATTTGGTAAAATACCAAGTTCATATTATGGCAAGAACAGCTCAAATAAGCAAAGAGAAACCAGCTTTGCTGGTGACACTTTCAGTGATTTATTTAGAATTCAAGGCACACTTAACCAGCATGGCTACCACAGCATTCTGCAGCAATACACCATCCCATCTGGTTTGCGCTTAGTGGGACTATCATTTGTTTTTCAACAGGACAATGACCCAAAACACACCTCTAGGCTGTGTAAGGGCTATTTGACCAAGGAGAGGGATGGAGTGCTGCATCAGATGACCTGGCCTCCACAATCACCCGACCTCAACCCAATTGAGATGGTTTGGGATGAGTTGGACCGCAGAGTGAAGGAAAAGCAGCCAACAAGGGCTCAGCATATGTTGAAACTCCTTCAAGACTGTTGGAAAAGTATTCCTCATGAAGCTGGTTGAGAGAATGCCAAGAGTGTGCAAAGCTGTCATCAAGGCAAAGGGTGGCTACTTTGAAGAATCTCAAATAAATGTTGATTTGTTTAACACTTTTTTGGTTACTACATGATACATGTTATTTCATAGTTTTGATGTCTTCACTATTATTCTACAATGTAGAAAATAGTAAAAATAAAGAAAAACCCAGGAATGAGTAGGTGTGTCCAAACTTTTGACAGGTACTGTATATTCAAACAATGTCACACATTGCTTATGGGAGTGTCATGGATTGTTATGGGAGTGGTTTGAGCCTTGCAATGATGTACATATTCTGTAAGCACAGGAAGTTGATAGGCGTACCATATGGTTGGTCAGCTCATATCAAAAGATTAAGAACAGTTCAGCCATTGGACAGTGCCACCTGCAGCCCAGCTCAGCACAATGGTAAGTACTGGGAAGATGGTAGAGGAAGAGACAATACTACACTATCCAACCCTTGCTTTCTTCAGTGGAGTCTAAGCCTGGAATACTGGAGGTCTTGCATGTGGGCCATAGGTTTTGCGTGACAACACTGCAATGGACCTGATCAAACATTTATGAATTATAATTTCAAAGATGGGTTTTAAACTCTACGAGATCGGTGTCCCGTATACGGGACGGTTGAGCTAACGTGCGCTAATGTGATTAGCATGACTGTTGTAAGTAACAGCTAACTTTCCAGGACATAGACATGTCTTATATGGGCAGAAAGCTTAAATTCTTGTTAATCTAACTGCACTGTCCAATTTACAGTAGCAATTACAGTGAAAAAATACCATGCTATTGTTTGAGGAGAGTGCACAACAACAACAAACTTATCACGGCAACTGGTTTGATACATTCCCCTCTGAAGGTAAATAATGTACTTACATTCAATAATCTTGCTCTGATTTGTCATCCTAAGGGTCCCAGAGATAAAATGTAGCATAGTTTTGTTTGATAAAATCAATTTTTATATTCAAATGTAGGAACTGGGTTCTACAGTTTGAACCCCTGCTGCCTCTGGCTCCACACCCACCCCGCTCGGCCATCTAGATGTGTGAAAGTTAGTGTATAAGCTAATGATCCATCATGTATGACATTCCTGGGAGTGTGTAAACTTACATTTTGTATTACCATATCATTTTTGTATGTTCTCTATAGTTATGTACTTGAAAATGTATCAATTGACCAATTCGGGACATTTGGGCAGACTTGATACAAAATAGTCCAGTATTGCAATGCTTCACTGGATCAATCTGAAACTTTGCCGACACACTGCTGCCATCAAGTGGCCAAAATCTCAATTGCTCCTAAACTGCAATATTATATTGTGGCCTTTCTCTTGCATTTCAAAGATGATGGAACAAAAAGAAAAAAAGAAAATGCATGTTCTTTTGTTTGTATTATCTTTTAC